GGCCAGATCCGACTTCCCAAGGTACGGGCGCAGCTGGCGCACAAGTTTTAATTGTGAAAGCTCTCCCGGCCACCGCTGAGACCTGGGGTTCCAGGCTCAGCGATGAGTCCAGGATCACTCCCAAGCTGCGAACCTGTGTCTTCAGGGGGAGTGTAACCCCGTCTAACACAGGCTGTAACCCTATACCCTGTTCGGCCTTACGACTGACCAGTAGGACCTCTGTCTTGTCTGGATTCAATTTCAATTTGTTAGCTCTCATCCAGTCCGATACAGCAGCTAAACACCGGTTCAAGGTCTGGACAGCCTCCTTGGTGACAGGTGAGAAGGAGTGACAGATTTGGACGTCATCTGCATAGAGATAGCATCTTAGTCCGAAACTCCGAATGATCTCTCCCAGCGGCTTCATGTAGATGTTAAATAACATCGGGGACAAGATAGAACCCTGTGGGACTCCACACAACAACGGTTGTGGGGCCGAACAGGTGTCACCCAGTAACACCTTCTGGGTCCGTCCCTCAAGGAAGGATCGACGCCACCGCAGAGCAGTGCCTCCAAGCCCCATATCCATGAGGCGGCCTAGAAGGATACCGTGATCGACGGTATCGAAGGCCGCTGAGAGGTCCAGCAGAACTAACAGGGACACACTCCCCCTGTCTAGCTCCCTGCGTAGATCATCTACCAAGGCGACCAAGGCTGTCTCAGTTCCATGTCCCGGCTAAAGCCAGACTGTGCCGGATCTAGATAATCAGTGTCTACCAGAAACCCCTGGAGTTGTGTTGCCACCACACGTTCCATGACTTTGCCCAAAAAGGGGAGATTGGAAACTGGCCGATAGTTGTCAAATTGAGTGGGATCCAGTGATGGTTTCTTCAACAGCGGTTTTATAATAGCTTGTTTTAAGCTCGCTGGAAATTTTCCTTCCTGTAAGGAGGTATTAACCATCACCTTCACCCACCCTGCCAAACCCCCTCTGGCTTCCTTGATCAGCCAGGAAGGGCAGGGGTCTAGGATGCATGTGGTGGGTCGCACCTCTCCAAGGATCCTGTCCACATCCTCAAGCTGAACCAATTGAAATGAATCCAACAAAACTGGACAAGCAGATGCTCTCGTTACATCCCCAGAGACTGCCGTTAACATGACGCCAAAACCCGACCGGATCCGCTCAATTTTATCCGCGAAGGATCGAGCAAATGTTTCACAGCGAGCCACCGAGTTGTCCGAGGCCTCGCTTTTTGGCGGATTTAACAGGCCCCTGACAACTCGGAAAAGCTCAGCTGGACGATTCTTCGCTGATGCAATATTGGCTGTGATGAATGTTTTCTGAGCTGCCGCTATTGCCACACCGTAGGACCTTAAAAAGGCATTCAGGTGTGTTTGGGCTGGATTGGTGGGATTCTGGCGCCACACGCACTCTAACCTCCTCTTCTTTCGCTTCATCGCTGCCAGCTCCTCAGTAAACCAAGAGGCTGGTTTAGCTCGGCTACTCGAGAGGGGGCGTTCCGGAGCGATTGTATCAATGGCCCTGGTCAACTCACTGTTCCAGCGAGAGACCAGAACATCGACAGGATCGCTAGCCAAGGAGGTGGGAGAATCCCCAAGAGCCATCAGGAAGCCATTTGGATCCATAAGTCTCCTGGGGCGGACCATTCTAATGGGTCCACCACCCCTGCGGAGGTTAGGAGGCCCAGTTAGTCTAAAACTGATCAGGTGGTGATCGGTCCATGGCAATGGGGCGATGGTCGGCTCCTCCATCCCGTCACCTTCATCCCATCCCTGGGCAAAAACCAAATCTAAAGTGTGCCCGGCACTATGGGTGGGACCAGATATTAATTGGGACAGGCCCATGGTTGCCATGGCGGCCATGAAGTCCTGAGCCGCACCAGAAAGAGGGGCCTCGGCATGGACGTTGAAATCTCCCAAGACCAAGAGCCATCACAGCAACACTTTAAATCAAGAAATAGTTTTCTAAGATCTAGAGAGATACTCGCAGGAACACCTAAGCAAGCGAGAGTCCAAAAGTGGTAGCCTAAAACCCGGAACCTCAACCCATGCCTGATGCTGAATGAGAGACTTCCTCCTGGGCACACAAAAAACTCTGTGATTTGGAAGGCACTGAACAGTCTGCGCTCGGGCATCACGAGATGCAGAGCCAACCTTAAGAAATGGAGACACAAAGTTGGGTCCTCGGCTTGCGAGTGTGGAGAAGAGCAAACCACAGACCACCTATTACAATGCAGTCTGAGCCCTGCCACATGCATATTGGAAGACTTTCTTATAGAAACACCAGAAGCACTCCAAGTGGCCAGCTACTGGTCAAAGGATATTTAATATAATGCAAAAGTGTTTTTTAAATACATTACAACTGTACCCTTAGTTCACTCTTGATACAATAAATATCATCATCATCATCATCGTGGCCTCTGAAGTGGATCTTTGCAATGAGGGTAGCAGCACTTAGCATGGAGAGCAGAGAGGTTTTGAAAGAAAGAACAGTGTGTTACTTGTGTAAAATCGTCATTGCTAAAAGTAAATCTGAAAGACTGGATGCCTCTTTTCTTAGTTAAGTTGCTGTGGAGGATGTCTTCTTCAGGTCAATCAATAAGTTCAAAAATAAACTGAGCTTTTTTTGGCATTACATTCTTTCGGCAATAACACATTTTATCCATTGTAGTAAAAGTACTTGCAATGGATTACGCATGTTCTAAATGCCTCACCAAGGGTGCTATGTGTTGAGGGCGGGCGGGGGGGGGGAGTTTGATGCATTAAGGAAAGAAGGTGAAACAGCAAAAGCAGTGAAACCTATGTTTCCTGCTGTGCTTCTTTCAAGAGAGAACTCTGTGCCATTTCTATTTATATAAAATTCTAAAACAATAGAAAACCACAACCTAGTGAGAACACCACTAATATTTTAGATCCACTTAGAAAAATAAGCAAAGCTCCCTAAAAATGAAAAGAGTCTCAAGTGTAGTATCTTGATGGTCTTCTTCAAGATTTATTTACATCATTTCTACCCCGCCCTTCTCACCCCTGAGGGGGGACTCAGGGCAGCTTACATGGGCAACAATTCAATGCCATAATGTCAATACAACAACATAAAATCAAATACATAGAAAATTAACAATAACACTAATTAAAATCACATACTCATATACTAACATAGTCACCTAATCAGAATCACATATCCATTTCTAGTTGTCATAATTCTGTGGTCCGGTTCAGTGTCTAAGTGCTATGTCCACTAGCCAAAAGCCTGGCTCCAAAACCACGACTTTAGTTTTTTCCTAAAAGTGAGGAGAGAGGACGCCGATCTAATCTCACTGGGGAACAAATTCCACAAGCGGGGGGCCACCACTGAGAAGGCCCTATCCCTCGTCCCCACCAGACGCGTTTGTGACTCCGGTGGGACTGAGAGCAGGGCCTCCCCAGTAGATCTTAAATTACAAGGTGGAATGTAGAGAGAGATACGTTCGGATAAGTAAGCTGCGCTGGAGCCGTATAGGGTTATATTATCCTGAGGATTATGTCATAACTTTCATAAGATTTTCAGTTGATGGGTGTTGTTCCAATTCACTCTAACATCGGGGTTCATGTATGGTACACATTTTTTTAAAGATAACATTCCCCAATTCCAGATTCAAACTTGTTTTGGATGGGACTTATTATACATGTTATCACGTTCAACAATAATATTGCAGAAGTAGAACCTGCAACAAAAGGACAGGGTGCATCTTCTCTTGGAACAAGGATCTGAACATACCCATCTCCCAATTTTCTGACCTCGCTCAGTTATTGAGGAAAGATTACTGTCCCTTACCTGAAAAGTGAAGGGGAGATTTTGAAAACCTCCAAGCATGCTCATACCTCCCATGTTGTTCCCGTTTTGGTGACATAATTTTTCCCAGCATCTCAGTTTTAATTCAACCCATTCACTTTTATAGAACATGATTGTCCCATAATAGTCTCTAAGAATATTTATTTGGATCTGAAATTATGGGCCCATCTACATTGCTATATACAGTTAGTCTCACTTATCCAACCTTCACTCATCCAACGTTCTGTATTATCCAACGCATTCTGCCTCCCGCCTAGATCTACAGCTATTCCAATACATTGCAATGTTTTGGTGCGAAATTCATAAATACAATAATCACTACTTAACGTTACCATGTATTGAACTGCTTTTTCTGTCAATGTATTGTAAAACATGATGTTTTGGTGCTTAATTTGTAAAATCCTAATGTAATTTGATGTTTAAGAGGCTTTTCCTTAATCCCTTCTTATTATCCAACATTTTCGCTTATCCAACGTTCTGCCGGCCCATTTATGTTGGATAAATGAGACTCTACTATAATGCAGTTTGAGACTGCATTGTATGTCAATGTAGACCCAGGATGCAGCCCTCCAAGGTCATTTACCCACCCTCCATCCTATTCTATAGACTTAGAATTACCCTAAATCTGAAATGACTTGAAGGCACACAACAACAACAATCGTAATTAACATGACTATCTCATCAGCTAAAAGCAGGCCCACACTTCTCATTGAAATTCTGGTAAATTTAAATTCTGTTAAAATTGTTCTTAATTTTAAACATTGTATTGTTCGTATATGTTTTTGTGCATTACAAATAAAATATGTGCCATGTGCATAGGAATTCATTCATATTTTTTTTCAAACTATAGTCTGGGTCCTCAACACTCTGGGGGACCATGAACCGGCCCTCTGCTTAAAAGTTTTGGAGACCCTGGTGTAGACTCTCATAATGCAGTTAAATGAAGTTAAACTGCATTATATGAATCTATACTTACCATATAATGCAGTCTCAAACTGAGCCTAATGGGGCAGTGTAGATGGGGTCATGATACACCACACCAGTGAATTTTAACTACATCAGCAAATTAAAAATATATGAGAAACATGAGTTACAGCTTTTACAGTCATAATATTAACGTTGTTCTCAACTGATAGGTTTCTTTCTCTTTCTCTTTCTTTAATTTTAGAGACATAAAGCCTGATAACATCTTGCTGGATGAGCATGGTGAGTGCCAATTGTTTCCATAGACAGTAATGAGAAATATATGAAACCACGCAGTAAAACACACCATTGCTGGGAGACTTCCATACTCTTGTTAGATGGAAAACAAGTTGAGGCAAATATCTACCTTCAACTCTGTGTTTCCACTGAATTCGTAAAAAATGACAAATTTTATGTTGTAAGATTAGTGGTTTTCATTTAAAACTGTTACCCATCTTGAATTATCAACATAATAGTTCATTTCTCACATGTCCTGTATTTCATGTACGAGGAGATGGAAAATTGCCATTTGGGGTTTTGATTAAACTCCTGTTTCCCAATCTAGCCGAACAAGCTCTTGGAAAGTATGTTGTTAATAACAAGCTGTTACCATTCTAGATTCAAGGCACAAAAAGTAGCAAGCTGCTGTTCAGTGAAAGTAACTATTTACTCTCCTTTTTAGTTGTACTCCAAGTGATAACTTTTTAAAGTCTGTTTTAACATAAAAAATATAAAAGTATCCTGTATTGCACGTTTGTAACTCAGAAAAAGAAATTACTAGCATGTGAAAATGGATTGAAATCCATGAAAGCCTTTTATCAGAAATGTCTTTTTCTCAGTAGGTCTAAAAGGTGCAACAAAAGTCCTTTATAACTTTATTTATATTCTTGTTTCTCAAAAGTAACTTAAATAATTACATTGCAAAAACAAATAAATGGTATTCAACAATAAAAACCTATGCTACAAAGCACATTAACTGCCTGTCCACTTTACAGCACAAATCAGCAACAGGTACCAACATATGATACATCCTTATATATATATATATATATAGAGAGAGAGAGAGAGAGAGAGAGAGAGACAGACAGACAGACAGACAGACAGAGATAGAGATATGGCATTGCATATTGCATGTTGTACCCAGTCTTAAGCTATGAGGAAGGATGGGTAGCAATTGTTGTTGTTGTTGTTGTTGTTATTATTATTATCTGTTACACTACAGAGGGAATTATGTTATTCCTTATTAAGTTCTAGGTATAATGCTATGATAGCTTTATTATTGGAAAGAGGAACTAATTATGGTTTATTCAAAACTGAAAGTCAAGTTGTTACTATGCATTTTCCCATCACAAAAGGGTGAATAGGAGAAAAGAGAGCAGGGCACAAGTCAGTGTCTGGGCACATGGTTTGTACCCAGAAGGTTCCAGATTTCGTAAGTGGTCTTTTTAGTTTTTTTTTAAAAAAAGCAGATGGCAGATGAATGGGAGATGCCTCTCCAGACTCCTGGAGAGCAGTTGTCACTCAGAGTGGGCTGTACTGGTCCAGGTGGCCAAGTGGCACGACTTGATAGAAGTTCCTAGAAAACAAAAGGGGGACCAAATGAATTTGAGCAGTACCTTGCTCAAGCACAGCACGTTTGAGCATGGACATTGGCTAGATGGAAACTACCTGCGATCCCTTACACACCACTTTGAATTTTAGGATGAAAAAAAGGGTGTGATAGAAATGTAACAAAATAAAAATGGTTTAATGTTACTTTTACAATGTTTAGTCTGTAACAAATAAGCATGCTTCTCCCCTTTGGAGAATACCCCTGTGTTGGGTGCATTTGAAGAAGAACTGATAGCATTCACAAAGGTTGCAGGTGTGAGAAACCACATCTTCCTTTGATGGTAAGTGTCCAAATGTGTTGCTTGTTGGAGCATGTACAACCATATGGCTCCATGTCCTAGTCACAAACATGGAGATGTGGGAGACTTTGTTGAAACTAAAATCTGCTTCAGTGGCTTTTCAATTTGAAATCATTTTTCTGATTAACATTCAGACTTTCAATGTATGGGATGGCAATGAGATTTATTTGGTATTCTCTTTTTGTTATGTGCCCTTGAAACTATGTCCTCTTTCCTTTTTGCAATTTCTGTGTGTGTTTGTCCAACCATGGCAGGAGAGGTGTGTGGTTCCATTCATGCGTGCAAAGAGCCTTTTACCTACAGTTCAGTTTTGTTTTTTGTTTTTTCCTTGAGCCATTGTTTTTGTAGCATCAATATCTATATTTAGACTGCAAAGACTGTACTTGTTTTCCAGTGGCTTTCCCTCTTTGGGGACAGTATTTCAAACACTAGCTCAATCTGTTGCCCTTTTGCTGAGTTTATGCTGAACTGCTAGAAGATCACAAGAGGTTATGTTAAAAACTTAATTCAGTAGACAAGACACAGCTTAAACTTAACAATTCTGTAGAATGGCATGGTGCAAAGTTTTACTTTTGCTTTATCATGGTTTCATTCATTTTCATAATACAAAGTTCTAGTAACATAAATAGTTTGATGACAAAAAATTTCTGTAGGGTCAAGTGATGATAATCACATTTTGGTGGTCAGTATTTAAGTTCTACATATTAGCAAAAGTTTGTTAGGATTGTCAGCATCTATCTGTGCACAGATTTCCGACATTAAAGGCTTATCTATATGAGCTTGATAGCCTTCACTCACCGTGTAGTTATTCCTGACTATCCACACAGCGTTGTGTGCTTAGATCCCACATTAAGGAAAGTCAAGGGAGGCTGAAAATCCAGAGTGTCCCATGGCCTCAACCCAGTGTGGTCAGCAGGACCAGATCAGATAGAGACTGGCCCACTCTCTACACAGGCTACCACTGGTATTTCTTTCCCCCCGTACCCATCAGCACTCTATGAGAGCCCTGGCCACTGTGGGCACCCATGCTGAGATGCCCATGTGACCAGGAAGAAAGTTGTGTAAAATCATAGTTTTAAAGGGTCTTTAGCTTTCTCTGCCAGATAGTTCTGGTGGCTCATGATTCCAGAGCTTAAGCAATAGCAGTAAAAGTGATCAAACTATATTAAGTCTACAATGTAGACACACCCTTTGTTTTTGTTTGTAGTTGGCGATTGGGGGCAAACAAGGCTTCATTTGTAGGCATGCTTAACCCATTATGACATTCTGAAGGTACAGCCTGGAGGAAAAAAAAAATGAGAACCGAAGTTACGTGTACGTCAAGTTGCTTTTTGATTCATGATGATCCATGAATGTTATAGATTTATCTTAGACAAGGAATAGTCTGAAGTTAGTGCCATTGCCAGCCTCTGAAACACAGCCTACAGTATCTGGTGTTCCCTGACAGTCTCCCACCCACATAGCAGTCATGCTGGATCCTGTTTAGCATCCAAAATCAGAGAGGATCTCGTGCCTTCAGAGTATATAGACCTAGGTGAATTGGTAGAATTTAGCATAAGCATAAACATAAACAATAGGGCTCTGAGAAACAATACTGCACTTATTTTTGTAGTGACTTTATTAAGTTTTTCAATTCATATACAAACCAACTCAATAGGAGACAGAGATCCAAAAGGGTAGAAAAAAATGACTGAAAAAAAAGAAAGAGAACTACGTTGGTTGGAATGGGGCAGGATCTGATATGCCATTAAACAGCATCATGGGTTGCCATAACAAGACACAGAGAACCATTATGGCTTCAACATTGGATTGTGACTTTGGAGACCAGGTTTCACATCCTTTCTTGACCATGGAAAACCATTGGGTAACCTTGGGAAAACCACATTCTCTCAGCTGCAGAGAAGAGCAAAGGCAAAGTCGCTCTGAACAAAAATTGCCAAGAAGATCCAATGATAAGTTTGCCTGAAGGTTACCATAAGTCGGAAATGACTTGAATGTACAGAACAAGATTTAAAAAGACACATTATTTATGTTAGACTTTATCATATTGACCAAGGCTTAAATGCCCTGAAGGCATTAGATCCTGTGTGATCTTGAAAACTAATCATCATGTGATAGACAACCCCACTGAAACATCCTTGGACTTCCAATAGTTCAGTATACCAGTTAATTTGTTTTTCAGGAAAGTCAGGATTACAGTTAAATAATTAAATTCTGACAAACAGTACACCCAGTGCAGTACACACAATCTTTGCTAATATTATTAAAGCCTGAATAAAATAATGACATCTATGATTCACCATCTTATGAGTGCGATTTCCCGCAAGGAGATGACAGCAGTATGAAATAAATGAAAACGGATGCAGGCCTTGGCCTTTCACTGTATCTCCTTTAAGCAAGGAATAATTCCTTGCTCGTTCTTTGCTTCGTCTTTTCCCTCACCCATGGAGTCGAGACTGGAACATCAAAGTATGCTATTCACTTCCAACCGATAAATCCATACATGTTCTGCCTGCCATTTCTACCTGTTTCCTGGCATCATTTGTGTTCTTGCAGTGCCAAGTGTGGCTGACTTTGAAAATTAACCATCATTCAAGCACTTTTGCTCCTTTACTGGAATTAAGCAATGCTCACAGCCCAAATTACTCACCACTTCTGAGTCAAAATACCCAGGGAGCACCACATAGTGGCAAGAATGGGCAAATGACCTCCCAAAGAATCTGCCTCATCCAGAATGCTTGGCAGAGAGCCATCTGATTTACAACCATAAGGCTTACACTGAGTTTGGAGTAGAACTTAAGGCTGAGGTAGAAAAAGGACTGAGAAAGTGGCCCATCAATAGGTGAATAAACTGCTTGGTAAGTACTGTGTCCATGGTATCCTTTCATACTACACAGTTGCTGTGCTTCCACATTAATTGACATGGTTCTGTTAAATGGAATCTTGGAGATTTGAAGTTTGGTGAATGGTATCTGCAATTCTTAGCCGGAGAGCATTTGGACCTTCACCAAACTGCAAATCCCAGTGTTTCATAGGATGCAGTTGGCAATTAATGTGGAGTCATAGTTATAATTGTGTAGTGTGAAAGGACCCCATGGCAGCTAGGCTTGGTATGCTTTTCTCTGCCAGATGGGAGATAAAAAATGATCAACTTGCAGAAAGCCCACATCCTATCTTCATTCATTTCTTGATACATTCTGCTTGAGGCATCATTTAGCCTGTTGCAGTTATAGTTCAAGACTCCTTCCATTTGCCTCATCTTACCACCTAAGTAACTTGCCTGCTATGCTGCTGTCTTTTATATTCTTCAGGCGGGTTTAAAGATTTAAATACCAAAAGGTCTGAGAGGTAAAGAACATCTTTGACAGGTTGAATAAATCACATAAGTATTGCATTAGGGGAAGAAGAAATGGTCTTAGTGGGTTGTGTCATGAAGCCTCTGTGCAATCTTTGATCCTGAAGTAGAGTCAGTGGGATTTTAAGTAAGTGTTTTATGGCCTTTATTAACTAAATTGTGTGGGTATTTTCAGTTGTAGGGCCAAGTTTATAGCTAAGGCAAGGCAAGTGATGAAAGCAGGTGAGGGCCACCAGAAAATTACAGTCCTTCCACACAGCCCTATATCCCAGAATATCAAGGCAGAAAATCCCACATTCTCTGAGTGTGGACTCAGATAACCCAGTTCAAAGCAGATATTGTGGGATTTTCTGCCTTGATATTCTGGGATACAGGGCTATGTGGAAGAACCCTAAGTCTTTCTGCTGGAAAGTCTACTTTTAAAAACCACAATTCAATTTTCCCCACTACTAAGTCTATACTTATAACATGTACACAGATGGATTTTCTCAATAAGGAAAGTTATCTTGACATATCAAGAAATCCCACAGAAAGGCTTGTCAGCGGGAGTTTTTCCTTCTTGGAAAAGAGTGAAAAAGGCCAGCACTTTTTCTATCTCTCTCTTCCTTGGTAGATTTTCTGCAAAAAACATTTTTGTCAAAAATTATATGCATTTTTGTTTCCACCATATTTCTTGCCAAATAAGCATTTCCTACATGAACACAATCTTTTTCACAGTGAGGAAAAAAAATCTGAATTTTTATTGAACAAGGAGCAAATTAGCAATTTGAGACATCATTTTCTTTATATACTATGGGCATTTGTTGTTGCCTGCATGATCCTGCATTTAACAAGATTTTTCAGCATACGATGAAGAAGAAACATGGCCAATGTGCATGTTATTTTGGCAGAACAAGTTGGCACAAACCTTTGATTGGCTTACATGTGTGTTTTTAACACACAAGACTTCTGCGAAGCATGGCTGGTAGATTTTCCTGTGTGCCGTGGCAGAATACAAAAGCACTCAGGATTTTCGGTGTATTTTAAATCATTTCTTCCTACTGATGTTGTTGTCTTCAACCATAATTAATTTTTAATTTCAGTTTTTTCTCCCCTGTTGGGAAACCACAGTGCTTCAGGAAGCTGAAAATGTTACCTTGGATTTGTGATCATTAATACTGTGGAGATAATACTGACAATGACAGTTTTATTCCATCAACTGCCTGTCCACTTTTGACATTTTCTCTGGGATAGTTTGCAAAGCTGCTGGTAAAGCTAGGTATTTGTTTGTGCACACATTCAGCACTTGTCTACATTGGGACCATTATATTATGGGAAAAGTTGGATGAAACAAATGGCAACTTTAAATAAAGTACTGAACATGGTGAGAGTCTCCAGCAAAGGATCACCGCCTTGTCGGGGCGCTGGAGCTTGAGCACCTCAATGATGTCATGAGCGAAACCGTGAAGGGCCACCCAAGATGGGACGGTCGTGGCAGAGAGGTCAGACCAAGCGTGATCCCTGGGGAAGGCAATGGCAAACCACCCCAGTATCCTTGCCAAGAAAACTAAATGGAAGAAAGTTCTGAGAGTGCCTTAGGTATGCCATTGGAAGATGGGACTCCCAGGTCGGAAGATGGCCAAAATGCTACTGGGGAGGAGCAGAGGATAAGTTCAACTAGCCCCAGATGTGATGACGCAGCTAGCTCAAAGCCAAAAGGAAGGCTAGCGGCCGACGGTACTGGAGGTGAACGACGAATCCGATGCTCTAAAGATCAACACACCATAGGAACCTGGAATGTAAGATCTATGAGCCAGGGCAAATTGGATGTTGTTATTGGTGAGATGTCAAGACTCAAGATAGACATTCTGGGGGTCAGCGAACTGAAATGGACTGGAATGGGCCACTTCACATCAGATGACCACCAGATCTACTACTGCGGACAAGAGGAACATCGAAGAAATGGAGTAGCCTTCATAATTAATAAGAAATTAGCTAAAGCGGTGCTTGGATACAACCCAAAAAATGACAGAATGATCTCAATTCGAGTGCAAGGAAAGCCTTTCAACATTACAGTGATCCAAATATATGCCCCAACCACAGCTGCTGAAGAAGCAGAAGTAGATCAGTTCTATGAGGATCTGCAGGACCTACTGGATAATACACCAAAAAGAGACATTATTTTCATTACAGGAGACTGGAATGCCAAGTGGGAAGTCAAATGACAACAGCGATCACAGGCAAGCATGGTCTGGGAGAACAAAATGAAGCGGGACGCAGGCTGATAGAATTTTGCCAGGAAAACTCGCTGTGTATAACGAATACTCTCTTCCAACAACCTAAAAGAAGGCTTTATACATGGACCTCACCAGATGGTCAGCACCGAAATCAGATTGACTACATCCTTTGCAGCCAAAGGTGGCGGACATCCATCCAGTCGGTGAAAACAAGACCTGGGGCTGACTGTAGCTCAGATCACGAACTTCTTATTGCCGAATTTAGAATAAAACTAAAGAGATCAGGGAAAATACACAGACCAGTTAGATATGATCTCACTAACATTCCTAGCGAATATACAGTGGAAGTGAAGAACAGATTTGAAGGACTAGATTTAGTAAACATAGTCCCAGAAGAACTATGGACAGAAGTCCGACATTGTTCAGGAGGCGGCAACAAAGTACGTTCCAAAGAAAAAGAAAACCAAGAAGGCAAAATGGTTGTCTGCGGAGACACTGGAAGTAGCCCAAGAAAGGAGGAAAGCAAAAGGAAACAGTGAAAAGGGGAGATATGCCCAGTTAAATGCGCAATTCCAGAGGTTAGCCAGAAGAGATAAGGAACTATTTTTAAATAAGCAATGCATGGAAGTGAAGAAGACAACAGAATAGGAAGGACAAGAGACCTCTTCCAGAAAATTAGAAACATTGGAGGTAGATTTCAGGCAAAAATTGGTATGATAAGAAACAAAGATGGCAGGGACCTAACAGAAGCTGAAGAGATCAAGAGAAGGTGGCGAGACTATACAGAAGATCTGTATAGGAAGGATAATAATATTGAGGATAGTTTTGACGGTGTGGTGAATGAATTAGAACCAGACATCCTGAGGAGTGAGGTTGAATGGCCTTAAGAAGCATTGCTAACAACAAGGCAGCAGGAGACGACGGGATCCCAGCTGACTGTTTAAAATCTTAAAAGATGATGCTGTCAAGGTGATGCATGCCATATGCCAGCAAATATGGAAAACACAAGAATGGCCATCAGACTGAAAAAATCAACTTATATCCCCATACCAAAAAAGGGAAATGCGAAAGACTGCTCAAACTTCCGTACAGTGGCCCTTATTTCTCATGCCAGTAAGGTAATGCTCAAGATCCTGCAAGGAAGACTCCAGCAATACATGGAGAGAGAGTTGCCAGATGTTCAAGCTGGGTTTAGAAAAGGCAGAGGAACGAGAGACCAAATTGCCAATATCCGCTGGATAATGGAGAAAGGCAGGGAGTTTCAGAAAAACATCTATTTCTGTTTCATTGACTATTCCAAAGCCTTTGACTGTGTGGATCATAATAAATTGTGGCAAGTTCTTGGTGGTATGGGCATACCAAATCACCTTGTTTCTCTCCTGAGGAATCTGTATAAGGACCAAGTAGCAACAATAAGAACAGACCATGGAACAACAGACTGGTTCAAGATTGGGAAAGGAGTACAGCAGGGCTGTATACTCTCACCCAACCTATTCAAATTATATGCAGAACACATTATGTGACGTGCGGGACTTGATGCAAGGCTGGGGTGAAAATTGCTGGAAGAAACATTAACAACCTCAGATATGCAGATGCCACCACTCTGATGGCCGAAAGCGAGGAGGAGCTGAGGAGCCTTCTAATCAAGGTGAAAGAAGAAAGCGCAAAAGCCGGGTTGCAGCTAAACGTCAAAAAAACCAAGATTATGGCAACAAGAATGATTGACAACTGGAAAATAGAGGAAGAAAACCGTGGAGGCTGTGACAGACTTTGTATTTCTAGGTGCAAAGATTACTGCAGATGCAGACTGTGGCCAGGAAATCAGAAGACGCTTACTTCTTGGGAGGAGAGCAATGTCCAGTCTCGATAAAATAGTAAAGAGTAGAGACATCAGACTGGCAACAGAGATCCGCCTAGTCAAAGCCATGGTATTCCCTGTAGTAACCTACGGATGTGAGAGCTGGACCTTAGGGAAGGCTGAGCGAAGGAAGATCGATGCTTTTGAGCTGTGGTGTTGGAGGAAAGTTCTGAGAGTGCCTTGGACTGCGAGAAGATCCAACCAGTCCATCCTCCAGGAAATAAAGCCCGACTGCTCACTGGAGGGAAAGATACTAGAGACAAAGTTGAAGTCCTTTGGCCACAGCATGAGGAGACAGGAAAGCCTAGAGAAGACAATTATGCTGGGGAAAGTGGAAGGCAAAAGGAAGAGGGGCCGACCAAGGGCAAGATGGATGGATGGCATCCTTGAAGTGACTGGACTGACCTTGAGGGAGCTGGGGTGGTAACGGCCGACAGGGAGCTCTGGCGTAGGCTGGTCCATGAGGTCACGAAGAGTCGGAGACGACTGAACGAATGAACAACAACAATGGTGAGAGTTCCTTATAAACACTGTTCAATTGTGAAAAGACAATTATTGCATTTGTTCCCTGCCTCTCCTTATGATTTGAGTCATGGTAGAACAGTTAAAACACTGAGATAAAACACAGTACCATTAAAATACGTAGTATAAAGATTAAAGAATGATACTAAGTGAATACAAATCTAAAATTCATAGTTGAAAATTGACTTGGTGGACCTGCCTGAAGAGATAGATCTTTAGATGCCTCTTAAGAAATGAAGTGCAATGCTAATTTTCATATGGTTTTTATGCCTCTCTCTTAGGACATGTGCACATCACAGACTTCAATATTGCTACCGTGCTTAAGAAAGATATGCAGGTTACCACCATTGCTGGGACAAAACCATACATGGGTGAGTAATCAGAAATGAAGGTTATTGGAATGGCCATTTTTTCTGAAAAAAAACTTAGTTAAGATACAGCCCATTCAGATGATATTTCCATGTGAATCTGGCCTGATACGTGTAGTTCAGGGGTGACCATTGATGCCATCTCAGTTTCTGCCTGAAAGCTAAGGTTGCACAGTCAGTTCTTGAATTTTTCTGCAGCACCCAGGTGGCTCTCCATTCAGAGCCTATGGCCAGGGTACACTTTCTCCAAACAGAGAGAAGAATAAGTGGTTAATTACTCTACCTCCTAGAGGGAAAAGGAGGAGCAAGATACAGTGACATACTTGGATAGGAGCTGGATCAGACCTCACTTCAGATATCCAACTGGACTATATAATAGATCCTTCTAGAACCCTGTCTCTTGCCTCTGCATTCCAAAAAGTGGTCATTGGCTTAAATCTAGTTGCTGCTTCCTACTGTAGAAGAATAAATGAATCAAACCACAGATGTTATCTTACCATTCAGTAATTACTTCAATGGATCTGCTCTGTTTGGGACTAACAGTTGGATTTAGGCTATGGATTTTTTCTTTACTATGCTTGCCAAAGGTCAGTGGTGGAAAAAAAAATCAGCTGTTTCCCCCCAGTAAATATACATTGCTATGTATTGTGCCATTTATTTTATGCTATGTGGAATATGAGCTTGTGTCTTTATCTAGTGGTTCCCATCCCATTATACTATGACTATTGACTGATTTATATCTGGAGATGCCTGATTCTTTATATGACTTCGTGTATGTATGTACTTGTTAAGCAAATACTAGCATGGCCTCTGTTTCTGAGAAAAAAATGGAAGTTATTTCATGTTTGCATCTTCTTCTTTTAATATTGATTAATTTCTGACTGAAGTACATGGAAATAGTCAGCCAACATGTGACCTGGAAATTGTGATGCATAAGTATGAAAGCTTGTAAGGAACCAGAAAAGGTAAATTTGATGAGTCAGTTCCCTAGTGCTCAGTACATTGTGCAATGACCTTCTGAACTTCCAAGAACAAAGCAAAAGTTCTTCTGGTTCTCATTCTCTTGACTGTAGTTCAGGTTACCGCTGTGACACCAAGTAGAAGGACAAATTCTAACCTTCACTTTCTCTTTTATTTGGGAAGAAATATATTTTGACATGGTTTTCCCTTGAACCACAAATTCTAACCAGAATTAACAGCATGACATCTAATTTAAGTTGTTTGGGCATTGTAGTCTATGGAGATTTGAATTTGTTTTCACCTTCCCTCTTCACCCAGAGGTGACATTTTGCTCCCTGTCTCCTATGGAAGGGGAAGGACATTCAATAGCCTGCTAGGTGAAACCAAAATGCTGTGTTCTCACAGTGGTCAAACAGATGCTCCTGGAAATCCCATAAGCAGTAGTAGTAAGTGCAATAGAACCTCCACACACATATACCAACTGGTCTTCAGAGGCATATTAATGCCTGAGCTCTTGTACAAATTTTGCAAGTATTTGAGGAACAACATAAAAACCAATGAATAGTCCTTGAGAGGTGAGGCCAGACTTTTGCGTTAGTCAGCCACATGTTTCTTGGAGGTTCATAGGAGAGACATGAGCATAGGAGCATCCTTCTCCTCATGTTCTTTAGCAGTTCAGGATATTCAGGGCCATTCTGCCCTAGTACAGGAAGTAGTCAATATTCTCTGTAACTGGTAGTCATTGATAATACAGCCCAACCAAAAAAATGCTTGATGTTTTGGTTTTTAGGCCTGTTTCTGAAGTTGTTTGGTGTGCTGATTCAGAAAATTAAGAAATAAAGTGAAATGAAGAAAATTGCTTTGGATAGACCACCTCAGCTCCAGTTTCTTAGATATGGTTATCATGGTTTTCTATGGGCAAGCAGATGATGACTGGAGTATATCATACTGTATATTCTGTATCTCAAAAACTAGATCTGATAGGGGGAAACTGGTGCCATTTTTGGAATCAGCAGGTCTAATATACCCAGAAACTTGGCTAACATCTGCGACACTAAAATGTGTGTTGGCCAGTGTAATCTTACGTATATCATGTTTGTCTAATATCTTGTGAAATAAAAAGGCTGGAAATGGCATGAGTCAGATACTTTCTACTTACAACCTACAAAAAATAACTATGTTTGGATTAAAACCAAAGAAGGAGCTCATGATCCACTGCCTTCTCTTTAAAACTGCATAATTTTCCAAAGTATTGGAAGAAATAGTGAAAAGAGGGCTTCTGTTGGCCTCTGTGATGAACCTGGTCTGAAGGTATTTAGAAACAAGAAATAGCTTGCTACCTGGATTCTCTCATCCAAGATATTTCTGAGTAGACTCTAAAGGAATTGATACAAAAGTGATATATTACATAATATGGTCCTCCAGGGTGATTCTGTGATATTCAAAACTGGCCACATATAAATGAAACGGCATTCAATAAGGTCATGTAATTGCCTGGCCTACTGTATATCTTGCCATGGGCTATGGTGATTAGAATTGATGAGGGTTGCAGGCTGACAATATCTAAGGGCTATGTGTTTCCTATCCGACTCCAGAAAGATGCTCCAAACTCCAGGAACCGCTGCAAACCAAGGTCTAGTCCCAGTGATTCTTGGCCAGAGGCCACTACCAATTGTACTTTATGTGTAGAGTTAAAACTGATATTGCATCACAAAAAGCAAAACCAGCTATACTGCTGCAAGAGTTGAGACTAATGCAAACTTCTAATTAATCTCTTTTTCAGCCCCTGAGATGTTTAGTTCTACGAAACCTATTGGCTATTCCTATGCTGTTGACTGGTGGTCATTAGGCATTACAGCCTATGAACTTCTTAGAGGCCGGGTACTGTACAGTTAACTTATCTATTGTATTGATCTTTCTATCCATTAATCCATCATTTCCAGTTATCTAGAAATCATCTCTTCCCAGATCTGCATCCATTTATGATGACTCGTTAACATTCCCGAGAGGGTCATTGCAATCTAAAAAGCAAATTGTCTTACTGATTAATGTGAATTCCTATCATAGAAGTTGTTGTAAATGTACTAGTGTACAGTAGAAAATCCATTTATATTTTGTAACTGCAGAACAATCCTGTGGTTCAAGGAAGAAAAGGTCTGCTCTGTGTGAATTACCAATCCAGCACATTTCATGTTCCAGCGTGCCTTTTGGGGGGGATTGCATTGCAGCATATTTGCAAAGTTTGCTGTGCTTTGTCTCAAGGACTTTTAAGATCAATCAAATAAGAAGGCAAAAGTAGAACCTTATGGCAATGAAAACACCCCAAAGGGTGTAAGTGATTTTTTAAAAACCATTGTTAATATCCAGTCCTAGAATATTTTGTCACTTTCCTGATGATCTGTGTGCACAGTAGTGTTCATAGGCTGTGATGCAGATGATCCACAGCAATTATCAACAATCTGATTTTGGCTTGCTTCTTTGTTCAGCTTTGCTGAGAACATTTTTAATGTTTCTGGCTTCACATGAGCTTCAGCCCTGCACTTTCCTATGGCGATCTATTATTATGACAGGGACACTTTTATGTTCCGCCACTTACTTGTGTTTCCTATCATGAAATATCCCTGTGTAAGCTTGTTACCTAAATGAAAGGGTTGAAAGGTTAAGAGCCTGGAATCCGTACTCTAGTCATTTATATGTATGGGCTACTTGATAAAGTTCCAGAGTTTGGGCGTAAAAAGAACATTTAAAAGTCAATTGCTCCTCGTTGCACTTTGATTTGATTGTTCAGCTTCCTTTCCTGAAGAATCTTCATGCAGACATTAATCTTGGGGAAAGAGGTTATCATTCAGAAATGTTAATGTCAAAATCTCAATTCCCTGACACTCTTCTTTTCATCTTATTACCTCTGAATGTGGTATAGTGATGATGGCCATTTGGCAAATACACTTTAAAGTCACGTCCGAAGTATACAGCAGCTGTTCCATGCAATTCAGTTGTGGTGCTCCATCACCCTTCATGCTCTGCTTGGCTGGTTCTGCTGGCAGTCTACTAAACAGGAAGCAAACTAATGCTGAAGAGACAGACTGGAGGGCAGGTTGGACTCTGTGTGGCATCCAGACCCATGAGCCCTCCTGTTACTATGTAGGAGTGACAAACATCTCCACAGTTTGTGTTGTACATGGCGTCTGTGGCTTATGTTGATTTGCCTTGACCTCAAGGAAGTGCTTGAGTTTCTTTGTGTCTTCCAGCAGCGGCTCTGTCATACACAATGCAGCAGTGTTGCTGTAATCCTTCTCCTGTTTGCCTGCATAGGTTGTCTTGCTGATAGACTCTTAAATACATTTTAGGCATTTTACTCTGTCAACTGAAAAGGGAAGAAATTGGGAGGTGAAATATACAGAATTATAGTACTTGGGTGTCACTTTGACTGCTGCAATTCCATTCTGTGGAACTGTGGGATTTGTAGTTTCATGAAGTATTTAGAATTCTGGGCCAGCAAGTTTTAGTAACTCACCAAGCTTCTGAATGGGTAATTTTAGCAATTTTGTTTTGCTGCGAGAGAAAAATCAGACAGTGTAGAGCTGTTGGAGGCTATTTGCAGTTGAGGACTATAACAAAGATAAACGTCAACCTAGGCAGGGGGGGAAAGCAATCCCACCGCTGCCACCAGTGTAATAAAGATCAGCATAACCTTGGGCAGGGGGAGACAAACAAATCCCCAACACCGCCCAACAGTGTGAAGGGTTAACGTTCAGCTGGACACTACTATAACAAAGATAAATGACTATAACCAGGGGGAAAGACTCTCTTATCCCACCTCAGTAATATCGTTAAGTGACCAACTGTGTTAACGATGTCAATGACCGATGTATTAGGTAGATTCGCCGCCACCACCTCAATTATATGTCTGAGGAAAACATAAGTGTGAATGTGAAATAGGTAAAGTTTATTCAAGCCCTTGGTTCTTCTTCAATGGCTGATTCTCTTCACTGACAGGACTGAACTTAGTTTTCTCTAGGCTAGCTGAGATCTAATAATTGTGACAGACTGAGGCAGACACCAGTTTAAAGATGAAATAAGTAACAGGTTTATTAAAACTTGATGAACAAATCAACTCTTAAAAAGAGTGGTACAAAAGCGTAATGCGGTTACTTGAGGCTTAGCTGTTTAGACAAACAGTCTTCTCTCAAGACTTTAACTTTTGTTTCTTGTGAGACTCTTGCTTCACACTGTTCACTAACTCTGACACAGTGTGTCCCTGAGAACAGCCCACTGACTGCCTCACAGAGCAAACCAGGCTTTCCTACACTGACCCTACTAAGTACAGTGTTTCAGGAACCTTTGCCTTCCCTATGCTCTAACTACAAGGCTCACTTCAAAAGTTCTTCCTCCCTGTCTAAATTCCTCTCAGCTCCCTCTCCATAAAATACTTCTTCACTCTACGATGTTTAAAGCTCTTCCCCCAGCTTGTCAAAAAGACACAGCCTTTTTTCCCTCTAAAAGCTTGCTCCTCCCCTGACTGCTCTAGCCAATCAGGAGTCGGCTGACTCCTCCCTCTTGCCTCTTAGCTCTCCTGCCTATCTCTCAACATGTCAGCTACTGACTTTCCAGGCTTTGGCCTTCCCGGCAAAAGGTTAGATTCATCACAAGGACTTATTCAGTACAAAATTTGCATAAGACCTGCATGTGCACACACAATAGTAAACTGGTTTTTAAAAATAAATCCAGGATTACAATTCGATTATAGTGAAAAGTCTTGTATCCCTTTCATTTTGCTAGCATTGTTATTGTGCTGCTGCTGCTGCTGTTGTCATTGTCATATTGATTTCAATTAAGCTAGTCTTCCCTGTTCAGTGGTTCCATTAACAACAATGAGGACTGCAAATAGGGAAGGTAGTGGCTCTAGCGCAGGTATGGGGAAATTCAGGCCCAGGGGCCGGATGCGGCCCCTTAGGCTCTTTTTTCAGACCCTCCTCTCTCTCACCATCCTATCCTTCCTTCCTTCTCTCTTTCCTTACTCCTTCCTTCTCTCTTTCCCCTCCCTCCCTTTCATCTTTCCTTCCTTCTCTCTTTCTGCCCCTCCCACCATTCCCTTCCACCCTTCCTTCCCTCCCCCCTTTCCTCCTGGGGGATGTTTAGCTGGGAGAAGAGAAGGTAGAGAGGGAACATGAGAACTATGTTTCAAGATGTCAAAGGGTGTCCCATGGAGGAGGAGGATGGAGAAAACTGACTTTCTGCTGCTCTAGAGACCAGGGCAGAAGGGAGCAGTGGGTTCAAATACCAGGGAAAGAGATTTGACTGAAAAGATTAGGAAGAACTTCCTGAGAGTAAGAGCTGTTGGAGAGTGACATAAGCTGTCTCTGAGTGTGGTGGAGTCTCCTTTTCTGGAGGCTTTTCCACAGAGGTTGTGTGTTGGGAGTGCTTTGATTGTGCCTTCCTTCATGGCAGGGGGTTGGACTGGATGGCCCTTGGGGGTCTCTTCCAGCTATATCAGGAGTAGGCATTATGGGGTCTAATGAATACACTTTTTCTCTCCTGTCCACCATCTCATCCTGACCAAAGTGGACCCTTTCGGGATCAAACATTTCCCATCTTTTCTATCCCTTTCTGCCTCTGAAAGAGAAAAGGAAGACGAGGAAAGGTCAGGGAGGAGACTTATGGAGAATACCTCCCTCCTGGCTTGCCCACCTCACTCCAGCCCACCATGCGAGCCCCCAAGTTAAAAAGTTTGCCCATGTCCATTCTAGGGAATTAGTAATGGGAATGTGGGCAGCAAAGTTTCTTTGAAAGAAAACATTTAGATTAAGTTATTTCATCTGTATAATTGCTGATTGAGGATTCATTTCAAAATGAAGTATTTGCTTTGCTCCTTTTCTTAGAGGCCATACCACATCCGCTCGAGTACAGCTGCAAATGAAGTTGCCCATGTGTTCAAGACGGCTACAGTAATGTATCCTGCTGCTTGGTCAAAGGATATGGTGTCATTAATTAAAAAGGTGAGTGTGGTTTTAAAAGGTGGGTGTGGTTTAAAGAGGTAAATGTGGAAAAAGAGAGAAACCTTTAAAGACTAGATAGAAATCCACCATATTTGGAATGAGAAGATATGTGGATGCTAACAATAGAAACTCTGTGTTTCATTGTCTTTTATTCTTGGAAACACAAATACATTTCCTCTACAAGTGCATGTGTGGCATGATTACACATCATAATTATGTTTCCGTACTCTGCACCCATTGCATGTCATTGACATCCACTCTTTGGGAGAGGAGAAAACTCACAGTGTCGTTGCATCACAGCATGAATTTTATAGCACTGGATGATGATTGGTTGATTTTTAAGTTGTTTGACTGAATGATTAAGTCACAAGTCTTTTCAAGAATTGGAAAGATTATTCTGCATTCTGTTGAGATTTTAGTCAACTAAAAATCGCATTCAGTGGATCAGTATTGGCGGCATGCACACATTCTCTTTTTAGTTTGATGCCTTTATCAGTGTTTAGCTGCTGCCATTGAATAAAATAAAATTACACATTAGAGAGGAAGAGCGATGGAGGGCTACTCATTTCAGACTTGGTTATTTGTCTTCTGTAATGTCTACTTTTGTCTTCCAATCAGTCAGCCAACTTACAATGTGAGGAAGTTTGCCCTGTGGCAAACTGTCAGTCATGCTTCTACTGATGATCTTTTTACATCATTTATTTATAACAGCTGTTCACATATTTTCACATGGTGGTACTCTGGTACATTGCCAGCATGGCTTCTTTCACCAACATATGAATTCACAGATCACACAGTCCAATAAAAAAAATATCTATTCTCTTGGACTCATGGTTTTTAGGCTTATTCCTGAGGTTATTTGGGATGCTGATTCACAAAATTGCATCAGATGTTATTAATGTTATTGTTGTTATTATGTTTATTTATACCTGACATTTTTCTCCACAAGGAGATTAAAAGCAGATTGATCACAGAAGCTCTAATTTCTTAGGTATGGTTATCATGTTTTTCTATGAGCAAGCAGATGATGACTGGTTGGTGGCATATGTTCTTTATCTCAAAAACTAGAGGTGATAGGAAAAAAAACTGGTGTAATTTTTGGAATCAGCAGGTAAAATATACCCTGAAGCAGGGCTAACATTTGAAGCACCAATGTGTGTTGGTCCATGTAATATGCCAACGGTCTGTCTTCACTGGAGAGAGGATAGAGGTTAGTGGAATGGGATTTTTGTGTGTGTGTCAGGAGTGACATGAGAAACTGCAAGTCGCTTCTGGTGTGAGAGAATTGGCCCTCTGCAAGGACATTGCCCAGGGGACACCCTAATGTTTTTGATATTTTACCAGCCTTGTGGGAGGCTTCTTTCATGTCCCTGCAGGGGAGCTGGGGCTGACAGAGGGAGCTCATTGCGCTCTCCCCAGATTCGAACCTCCAACCTGTTGGTCTTCAGTCCTGCTGGAATGGGATAATTTCTTGGAGGCTTTATTAATTTCTCTCAGATTGTCAGTTGTGCTCTGGACAGTCCTTGCAGTGGTACAGCACTCTTCCCCCCATTAATAATTTCCTGCCATAGAAGACCCTGAAAGAGCTTTCAGCTATGACTTTTTATTCCCAGTTTATCTATTCCATCTGGTAGGGAAGGAAAAAAACACTGAAAATTTTGGCAAGCAATTTACTGGAGAAAATGCTTTGTCAAATAAAATAATAGCTACCATAAGGAAATACAGTTGCTCCTCCCTGTTTATGGGCTAAACATTTGAATTAGAATCATAGAATCCTAGAGTTGGAAGAGACCTCGTGGGCCATCCAGTCCAAACCCCTGCCAAGATGCAGGAAAATTGCATTCAAAGCACCCCTGACAGATGGCCAATCCAGCCTCTGTTTAAAAGCTTCCAAAGAAGGAGCCTCCACCATTAGATTGATCACATATTACTTTATTTGCTGTTGCTGTCTCTACTACTGCCCTGTATATAACCAAAAATATGTTATCTTTGGACATTTCTAGGTCTCCCAGCTCAATTCTAATTAAGCCCTCAGGTTTAATTAATTTTTTCATATTTTTTTAAAAGGATAAATAACATTGGTCTGATAACTTAAAAACTGATGGGGATAAAACATAGAGGTAAACTCTGAAGCTTATCATGCTCCTTGCCCAGTTTGTGTGTGCGTGGATATGTGCCTTCAAGCTGTCTTTTGACATATGGTGACTCCGCTAATTTTATGATTTTTTTAAGGTTAGCAATCCTTGGGGGTGCTTTATCTCATTCCATCCCATGACATGTAACCTACAGCACCTGCTATTTGTTGGCTGTTCTCATCCAATTGCTAAATGAGGCAGGCCTTCCTTACTTTCCAAGATCAGACATGATCTGGTGCCTTTCTTACTAGCTCCAGCTTTCTGGGATTCCCCTCCTGCCCTGTGTGCAACCTCAGCTCCAGCCATGGAGTTGCCCTTTCCCAGCTACATCAGTGTGTAGGAGGACTCCTAACTAACCTCCAGCTACAGGTTATACAACTAAGTCAAACAGAGACTAATTTTCTTCCAGGCCACTAGCAAGTATAAGGCTTGATATCTTTAGCTGAGACTGTGTGCAGAGGGGATCATTAAGAAAGGAGGCACTTTCTTCCACGACAAGCGGAAAGGTGCACATGCTGATATTAATGAGGAGTTAATGCCAATGGAATCCCAGGCTGCCAGTGGAATTATATTTTATTTGTATTACTTTATTATTTATTTAGACCATTTCTACCCCGCCCTTCTCACCCCCAAGGGGGGACTCAGGGCGGCTAACACAGGCAACAATTCAATGCCAACAGTATCAAAACAACAATATAAAACAGCAGTGTCTAAAGTGCTGTTGTGCCCTCTAGCCAAAGGCCTAGCTCCAAAACCATGTCTTTAAGTTTTTTCCTAAAAGTAAGGAGGGAGGACGCCGATCTAATCTCGCTGGGGAGCGAATTCCATAAGCGGAGGGTCACTACCGAGAAGGCTCTGTCCCTCGTCCCCACCAGATGCGTTTGAGACGCTGGTGGGACCAAGAGTAGGGCCTCCCCAGTAGATCTTAAATTACGAGGTGGAACGTAGAGAGAGATACATTCGGATAAGTAAGCTGGGCCGGAGTCATAATTATATGATCCCTAAAGTATCTGAGGAGCCATAAGAAGGATTTGATTTACCCCTCCAGTGCCCGTGATATATCTTTGTACTTCCTCCCATGGAAACTTTCGAGTGTTAAAACATAAACAATGATTTTGGCATTATCACTAAAGAACTTCTCACAAAGGGACTAGTAGTGGAATGGTGACCATTACAACGTTTTAGCCAAGACTCATCAGGTCATGTTTAAAGCAACCACTGCATCACAGCATTTTTATGTGACTCAGAAACTTAACATGTTTAATCTGTTCTAAAACTAAATAATTTCAAACTGGCTGGAGTAAATAATAATACTGCAACACGTATGTTCATCTCTTTTGTATTTCTACATGTCATTTTGCATTTTTAAAAAAAGAAATTGTGGCATTCTGGAAAGCCTACAAGCCTTTTCCTTCTTCTTGAATTAATGATGATACCTGATGTCACCATAATTTAAATGCCAACTTTGCCCTCTTTGTATCTGTTTTAGCAGCATTATGTATTATAGATGAGACCAACTGGAGTTGTCAAATTATGTCCTATTAGGTCTCCACTGAATTTCATCAGAAATTGCAGGAGGTCATGCAGGTACCATTTCCATATGTGAAGTAAAAAATCCTCCTTTCAGCTTCTCTGTCGCCAGTTTGCAATGGGTGCATGTTGTTTGTGCAGGACAACATAGGGAAAACAATTAGAAATTAGCAGTGTAGTCCTATGCGTGCCTTTTAAGGATTAAGTTCTATTGAGGTTAAATACAGTTGCTTCTAGCAGTACAATTGTGGTATTTGGTCTGAGTGTTGGACTATGACTCTGGAGACCAGAATTCAAGTCTCCACCAGGCTATGGAAACCCTTTGAGTGACCTTGGGCAAATCACAATCTTTATCCTTCAGAGGAAGGCAAAAGCAATCCTTCTGAACAAATCTTGCCAAGAAAATCCTGTGATAGGTTCGCCTTAGGGTTGACATAAATCAGAAATGACTTGAAAACACATAAGAGCAACAAGGTGTGCATGGTATTTCAGCCTAAATGTATATTGTTATAAATGTAGGTTTTAAGGACAATATGGATTTAAAAATATTAACAAAACAAAAAAAAAATCCTTGATTTTTGCCATTTTATGTAAGGGACATCATTTTTCTATGTAACTGTATATAATTAGAATTGAGCATCCACAAATTTTGGTACTCATTGGAGGGTCTTGAAACTAAATCTGAGTGGAATGCCCTTCCAAAAGATCTTCGACAGGCCCCTACTTTAGCAGCTTTCAGAAAGAACCTAAAAACTTGGCTGTTCCGATGTGCCTTCTCAGATTAGGAATCCCCCATCCCAAGTCCTAGAAGCACTTTAGTATAATCAATATTACTGCACACCGCACTATTTAATCCTACGTTCCTCCTGCCATTTCAGCACTTTTAACCCTGTACCCCATTGCGCCGGCCAGCCCAGTTTTAAAGTGTCTTGATGTATTGTCACTGTTGCTGTTATTTTGCTTAATTATTTGATTTGCTTTGTTTATTGTTGTGTTATGTTCTACTGTATTGTGTTCTGAGGCTTCAGCCTGTGTAAGCCGCATCGAGTCCTTCGGGAGATGCTAGCGGGGTACAAATAAAGTTAATAATAATAATAATAATAATAATAATAATAATAATAATAAGGTCCCACTGCCTTAGGCTTGCAGTTCAGTGCAGGCAATCCCATCCAGCACATGTGGTGGATATATGGTAAGTAGGCTTCCACCTCCATGGCAGATATGAGTATCTATTTTGACCCACATCAGAGTGCTTGTAATAGTGACATTGAACTGGTGGAATGCATCATTTTATGCAAATAGGCTTGAAGCCACTTATTGAGTGTGAGTAGCAATGGTCAGTTACAACATAGAAGAGTTTAGTAGTGAGTACCACTGTATTATGCTTGATGTAAGTAATGTGTCTAGATGTCATAAATATCTTGCATGTGTCTCTTTGGGCTCTTAAATGGATGCCACTTACATTATATTTATAACATTTAATCCCAAAATTGTATTCAATACATTCTGTTCAGGTTGAGAATATGGGAGCAGGCCCATGCTGTTGGATTACATTGGAAATCATAGGGCTTTCCAGATATTGGGTTATTTTAGGTTTTTCAGGCTATATGGCCATATTCTAGAAGCATTGTCTTCTGACATTTTGCCTGCCTCTATGGCAGGCATCCTTAGATGTAGTGAGGTGACCTCACAATCTCTGAGGATGCCTGCCATAGAGGCAGGCGAAACGTCAGGAGAGGATGCTTCTAGAACATGGCCATATGGCCCAAAAAACCAACAACAATCCAGTGATTCCGGCCATGAAAGCCTTCGACAATACATTTCCACACATTGTTGTGTTGCAAGTCCCATCAGTCCTTACCAACATTGGCTATTTTAAGTAATGTTAATGGCTTGAATTCATCATCTTCATCATAAATCCCATCTCTGGGTTAAAACCAAATTTAGTCCTACTTAGACCCCACTCAGTGGTATCTGTGGGACTTAATTGTGACCAGCAAGCTCAATTCATTTCATTAGTTCCCCTTATAGTTGAGCTAGTGTGGTATTCAGCTTATTGTTAAACAACAGCAACCAACACCAGTTTTGAAACCAGTCTCTCTTGCTCATTAAAAGCAAATCGGAGTGCAGCGTTTCAGAAGCTTTGCCATCCATCCCACAGTGATACGTGACAAGGTCTTTATAATGAGGACTGTGCTTGTGTATTGGGGACTACTTTGCCTTTGGACAGACAGCAGGATTTCCCCACTTGCTTCATTATTTTTACTTGTCTACATTTGATTTCCATGAATGTTTTACAAGTTTAGCAAATAATGTATTTGTATTCCTGCCTCACACCAATCATTTTGAGATGTTTTGCTGATTCATATGAAATACCTGAGCAAGAACAAATACATCAGAAACCATATGGGTGGCAGGTGCCCGTGGAATACAAACCCTCAAAATAAGCACAATGAGGCTGATTCAAGCTGGAGTTTGTTTGAATTATATGCATAGTAATGCAGGCATAACGATAAACTATTCCTGCAAAATCTATTTGTGAGGATGAGAAAAATCTGTCACAACAGGGCTCTTCGAATAACTTGGTTTAGCACAGCAAGCACCTGTGGACTGTTGGCTCCAGTTGTAGTAAGAAAGCGTTCAGTAAATTACTGCTGAAGTAGAATACTTGCTGCTGCTCAGCCAACTAAGCAGTTAGTTAGAAAAGTTGTTAGCAGTGTGGAGAACCTGACCCTATAGTCAGCTGTGGGGAGTGTGATGGATGAGGGTGTGAGAAATACTGGAATGCTTCTCCATTGCCAGCCAGGACAAATTAAAACTCTTAAGGAAGGAAACACATGACTTTAAGCTGTGCTTTCATTGCTTTCTCAAACCAAGCCGTATGCTAAGGTAGAAAGTAGAGGCATTTTTCATTGGCAAAAGGTGTCTTCAAGATTTTTTTTTTGGTTTTACAATAGCCATGTTTCAGGTGTCATACAAAAGTTTCTATGTGGAAAGGAGACTGGGAGCTGTATTTTGCCTCTGTCTTCTAACCTCCTTGAGGTGTAACCAAAGATTTGAAGCAAAACTTTAACCCTATTCTAGTAATTATGCTTACAGTTTTCTCAAGACATTCCATCCAAGAAATACTTTGGTAGAAAATGAGTAGACTTTTATAATGCCTAAATAGGCCTTGTGCTGCTTCGTTTCTCTATATAATTGTCATCACAGCTTGTAATCGTTGTTTTGTTTACTACTCCAACTGAAAATAATGCTGCAAGTTGCTTCTGGTGTGAGAGAATCAATTGTCTACGAAGATGTTGCCCAGGAGATGGCCGGATGTGTTACGATCCAGCAGGGAGGCTTCCCTCCCATCTCCCGTCTTTTGTTCATATATCACCTAGCATGCCAATGGCTTAAATCAAGAAACAGAGATACTTGCAGGAACACCTCAGCAAGCGAGAATCTAAAAGTGGCAGGTTAAAACAGTGGCTGAGATCAAATGAGAAATTCCCTCCTGGGCACACAGAAAATTAGGCGAACTGGAAGTCGCCGAACAGGCTGCACTCTGGCACCATGAGATACCGAGCTAACCTTAAGAAATGGGGCAACATAGCAGAGCCCATGAGTGTGGAGAAGAGTGTGGAGAAGAGCAAAACACAGACCACATACTACAATGCCACCTGAGCCCTGCCACATGCACAATGGAGGACCTTCTCACAGCGACACCAGAGGCACTCCAAGTGGCCAGCTTCTGGTCAAAAGACATATACCATAATACCAAGTTTTTAAACTTTGTGATTTTAAATGCATTTTAACTGTACCCTTAACTCACTTCTGACATGATAAATAAACTGAAAATAATAAAATAATTTGCACTATTGTATACCTAAAACATCTGACCAGGGCAAATTGAGCCACAAAACGCAACAGCTTTCTGAGAGTTTATTAGACATGAGGGAAGGATGATACACTAAGATGATGTTCTATCTGTAACTATTTAATAATATTAATAGAAATTGTTATAATGCAAAAGATCTTGTAGCCTAGGTGTTTTCTTCAATTATCACCGAGATAGCTCTCAGTGCTGTATTTAGGTGTTAGGTTCATATCAATGAAAAATAATGCTAAAACAAAAACTAGTTAATATTAAAGGTGCTACTATATTGCTTAACTCCCTGCCTTCCTTCCCCTGCATTCCTGTTTCTCAGGCAAAAAAGAGGTATTAGATACTACAACACAGTGAATCCATGGACGAAGAGTCCACATTTTCCCAAGTTCAAAGGCAAAATAGTGACTGCAAAGGATGATGGGAGCTAAAATGTTAAAACATGAGGTGATGGTTGAAAATACTGGCATAATGAGCAATAATGGAGGTTCTCTGCTGACTCCCACATAAACACCACCCAGCTCAGAAACTAGAATGTGAATGAAGTGAAAAGAAGCTACAGCATGGATCCAAGGCTTCTTATACTACGTGAGGAGCCTAGGGAGAACTGATGATCCTGAGCTGCAAAGAAAGGTCCTACATGGTTGGGAAAAAGTTTCTTGGGCATTGATCCATAGTCCTTGATCAGAACAAACTAGACTCATGCATTTTGGTTGCTGAGTGGCAGATGGGGTGTTTATGCTCAGTGTAACCCTTCAAACAATCTGAGTTTGATTTATATCCACTGGTGCCTGCAAGTGAATGATCATTTTTTAAAAATGATTATATGGCTTAGATCTTTCTCCTCCTCCTCCCCCCCCCTCTTTCTGCTATTTCCCAGAAAACTCAATCATATTTTTAATATAGGATATAAGATTATAAACTTCCTTGCATGTCGTGCTTCATGTCTTTTAACAATATACTGGTTACCAAAGAATCCATGCTGGGGGCAAAATTAATAACTTGACGTTTATTTTATGAGAAACACTCACACATGTCCTTGGTTGTTATGAGAAAAGAAAATAATAGAATATTAATAATAATAATACCTATTGACACACACAAAAATAGATGTATATTTCATCACTTTGAATTAAAATTAATCATGACTAACATCTGGTAGAATGAGATTTTTATTTCATCCATCCAATTTGCAATAAATATATTTTGTTTTCTCTCTACTGTGATCCCTATGTTTACAAGCTGGTTAATTTGTGTTCCTAGTTATTGGAGATAACCGCAGAGGAACGATTTTCTCAGCTGAGTGATATCCAAGACTTTGCTTATTTGGCTGATATCAACTGGGATGCTGTTCTACAAAAGAGAATAATACCTGGATTTCTTCCTACTGTAAGCATGCTATTTGTTTTTTGCACCCCTTCTCCATGACTATAGTATAGATCAGTGGTTCTCAACCTGTGGGTCCCCATGTGTTTTGGCCTATAACTCCTAGAAATCACACCCAGTTTACCAACTGTTAGGATTTTTGGGAGTTGAACGCCCAAACATTTGGGGATCCCCAGGTTGAGAACCACTGGTATAGAGTATTATGATTAAAAAAAATTAACTGTTCTAATATATCTCTAGCATTAAATCACTAATTATAGGGGAGAGCTCATTTCCCAGGTGTAGGTGGCAATAGAAAAACATATTCCATGCAAATTGTATTATGATTGGAATGATCTCTCTCTCTCTCTCTCTCTCTCTCTGTCTGTCTGTCTGCCCATTTCTAGAAAGGGAAGTTAAATTGTGACCCAACCTTTGAACTTGAAGAAATGATCCTGGAATCCAAACCACTTCATAAAAAGAAGAAGCGCTTGGCTAAGAAGGAGAAGGAGAGCGGCAAAAACGATTCCATCCAGGTGAGGCACGGAGAGGTTGATCACCATGTTTATCCTATCTTACACTTTGGGAAGTGCAACTTTGCAGATGCCAGTGGACATATTTCTTATTTGACGATGCCAAGATTTTAATAGTTTTCATCTTCATTTGATGTCTTTGTAAAATATTGGTCTCAAGAGACAAAAGATTACGCTTCTCAAACTGCTTACTCAAGTCTGATTGCATTGACATTTCTGGCAGTGCTCAAGATGTGTGGTTTGGAAAGAAGGCTGGAGCCCAAGCTGGCAAGTCTTGAGCTATAGCTGCTTATCTCTGCCCACTTGGATAATAATGACATTGTTTTACTTTCTAATTCTCTGTATTTCTACTGTGTGTTGCTGATAGATTCCATGTTTATATCACATTTTTGGCACAAAAGATGTAGAAGGCTTTTTGTGGGATTATCAGTACCTCATAGGCCTTTCTGAATATCATTATTTTTTTAGGCCATTAGCAAAAGCTCACATCAAAACCCATATTGCAAACCAGCTTTGATCATAGATAGATATATTGTGCTTTCTGTTTTTGAGTAGTCCTTTGGGGGAAGGTGGGATAGGAAAGAAGGGAAAAGGGGAATGTAAACACTCACACAGTGTCTATACTGTTTGCAAATAATGAGGTGGAAAATATTAATGTTTGCTCAGTGACGACTCTTAATGTGAGCCCTTTCACATGGTACAAATTATAGTGCTATGATTCCCCTTTAACTGCCATGACAAGACCCTATGGAATCCTGGGATTTGCAGTTCTCCCTTCATCTGTTTTTTGCTGCATTCAGTCATTGACTCTGTCATGGAGGAAGGCCAGCTGCCAAACCCACTGGACCGCTTTGCTTAAGTGTCCCCATTAAATGTTTATACTTCTAGCTTTGCTGCTTTATGTTATACGGAAGGGTTCTCCTGACCAGTCTTTTCTGTTTGTTTTATAATGGAAGGCTTGTAACCTCCAGAAACACCTGGAATCAATCCAAAAAGACTTCATCATTTTCAACAGGGAAAAGTAAGTATTGACCTGGAAAGGAGACTTTATCTTGGCAAGTCGACTAATGAACTCAGTCTGTTTTATATATAAAGAAGTCTGATTAGAGCTCTTCAAATAATTAAGAAGGCAATTTGACACAAAATCCATAGGATAGCCCTAGGGAATTAGACTTTATTCATTGGTCTTTGTGTTGGGCTGCTGCTGCAGCAATGCTACTGAATTCCAGTTGTGAAGGTTTGTTCATGGGACGATTTATACAATTATTTCAGAGGGTTTGTGTCTCTCTTCTGCACTACTCCATTCCTCTTTTGGGAAAATGTAGTGATACAGTTAGGAAAAAAAATTCTTGGTATGGCCAATAAAAGAGATAATGTTGGAACAGTAGATAATTTCTTCTAATAGGCCATCATAGAAAAAGTGAAACATCCTTTTCTATCTACTGGGATATCTACTATTCTAGTAAAGGCGAGAGTGCTCCAAACATGTTTCAGCAATCTGAAAGTAACTGGAAATCCAACTCTCCATTGTCCAATCCAATGGCATTCTAGCTTCAGATCCTAGGTGCTATGAGCAGCCTCTTAGTCCATGATTAAGAACTCAGGTACTCATAGAGTTGCCCATAAGTATGATCTGCTAACAGTGGAAATTAGGTCAACTCTAATAGTCAGTTTCAAATAGGGGAGCAGATACTGCTTGTAATAGAGGGAAGAGCTGATTTTAGAAGTGAGGCACGTATTGTATTGTAATATGATGTGATGTAAACAGTAAATGGGGCTTCATTGCTGAATGATTATGGACTTTGATCTTTTCTTCTGCATGCTATAGGATGAGGCAACAGCATAATGAAATGCAAGAGAACTTGATGTTGACACAAACCAAAGACAACCAGGAAGAAGATGACCAGAATAATAATATCTGAAATCCATTTGGCTTCTGCTCAGGTGCTGCTGTTGAAGGTCTAGGCTTCGACTTTAGCTACATCCCGAAGGTTGACAAATAAAACTTCACATTGCTAGTAAGAACGGCAGACACTTGGAGCTAAAACCTAGGTGTCTCCTCCTAACATAAGAAGTTAGGGCCTCGTTTCTTGCAATAGTATATAAGGCATAGGCTCTCATTTTTATGCCTTCGCCGATGTTTAAGAAAAAGTTTGACCATATGGAAAAAATCTGGTATTTTTTCCTCAATAGTAGAAGATTAAAGACATTCCTTGTTTTATTTATGTGGCTGCTGAGGATTGGTGTCAGTCAACTGCCAATAGGAAAATTTACAAAGTTTTTATTATATGTTTGCTAGTTGGATGGTTCCTTATTTTAATGGACGTTGGAAAAAGATGGGAAAACTGAAAATGCAGTGCAATAGTCTAATGTCAAAACCAGCATATTCAATACCAGTACTCTTCCAATCTAAAATTATATTCCATTTATGAGCTCACTATAGAAAAGGGAAATTACCTGTAGTTCTTTGCTTTGAGATTTTTCCACTGTTGGCAGCATGTATAATTTAACTTTAAAAAATTAATCCAGCATACTTATAAACAGGAGAATCCACATGTAAAGCCCTAGAGCTCCTACATGAAGCAGAAATTACTGATAGCATGAACAAACCTGAAATAAAATATACTGAGATCTTCTACTAGGACCTGCTTAGAAGTAGAATTCACCAGCAAGTGCAATAGACAATCCATCATTGTAGGGAGAAGGCGGTGGGATGAAATGATGCTAAACATTTTAAAAGCTTGCATCTAAGAAGAATAGTTATAGTGCTACTTACTCTAAATATTTGGGAAATTACTGTGATCAATATCATATGCTTGATATAAACTGTGATTACTCTATCCTTTGTAGTCTGAGACTGCAATTTGACACAGTCAGATCTGCTAAGACTTGTCACACATCTGAAGGACAGAAATCTAGGCTAAAGGGAGCATACCAAACCTTAAAATGACATAATGCTTCACTTTTGGAGGATTACTAAGAATAGTTATTTAAGGGAAGAGTATTTTATGTGTTGGAAATTCGTTTATCTGCCCTGCTTTATGTCCCAAGTTCCCTTTTATCCCTTCCTATATTTCATCTCTCTTTAGATATAATAGAGTGGGTTAGAAGACTAAGCCATAGCAGTGATGTAAAAATCAAGCCCATAATCTCCACTTTCTTCATTTTTATGAGGCTCTTTGTAATTGGAGCCAAAATGAGCTGGATGATTGCTTCACCGCTTTGAGGCCCACTGCCCTCTGGTGGCCTTCCATTTTTTAAATGCTTCTTTGTTGATTTCAAAACAAAAGGTTTCTTAGCAAACAGAAAGTACAATGCTACCGTAAGTTCAGTACTTCTCACTGATTTCAAAGGAAGCATTGAACTTGTCCTGCTGGTGTCCATCGGCCAGTATTCTACACAAGCTACTTAGTTAAATATATTTAACTCAATAATTTTTCCTAATTCAAACCTGATGGACATGTCATTCATGTTTTGATGGCCAACAGAATGGGCTTTCTACTACCCACGCAGTTGGTGCCTGGTAAAATAGGTTGTAGGAATTGAGATTCTGAAAATAGTGTTAGGATTGTGATCAGCAATTGTGTATCAGGAACAGTTACTTAGGATTTACCCATCCATAGCTGTTCCATATTCATGAGTGCTGACAACTGCAACACTACTGCCATGATCATAACTCTTACCCTCCCTGGCTTTATCAGGTATCAGCTACATACAAAGATCTTTGCTGACGAATGAAGCACAGGTGAACCCATCAGTTTTGGGGTGGGAAGCTGGGTCAAGACAGGTTGTGGATACAGAAAACTGGTCATCACCCTTTGACATTTTCATTACCACACTAAAGCAGGACACAGGTTCCTTAAATTAGAGATCAACTTGTTGCTTGGAAAAATTGAAATAAACAAGGAGTTGTTCATGGCATCCTACTAGCTAACATTGCATACTACACTTTTATCTATACCCCCTACAGAAACTAATATGTACTGCTTTTTTCAACAAAATGCCAGGAATGCCTTCTATACCAAACAAACCAAATCTAGGTTGCTGGCTGAGACCTAGCGCTTCTAGCTGCTTTATTCTGAGATTAACTGGTTGCAATTGAAGCTGTTTCAGAAACTGAAAAGTAGCTGTGATCAGGAAAGTGGCTCCAGTGCCCGCTGTGACCATTATGCTCAAAAAGTCGCTGCCTTCTACGGAGTAACTCAGACCAATTCCTGTTTAGTTTATAAAAGTTTACCTGCTGTTGCCTAAGCAAGGATGTATTTATTGTAGAATCACTTGAAAAACCATCAGTCATCCAGTTTGAGAGAGAAATAAGTCATGTTCAGTCATGTTATATAAAAGGCACTCACTGTCTAAGTCCTATAACTTGCTTGTTGTGCTTGACTGCCTCTCACTTTTGGCCTGGCCTGCTGCACCAGGCTGAACGTTGACAGCACTGTGTCTCACCTGCCCATCCCCATCCGAAGAAATCAGTCCTTACTTCTCATTGTGGTACAGCATCAAGAAAAATCCATCTGGCCCCTCAATGCAGCTTTTGCCCAATAGTTTAGACACCCTCTACTGAATCCCAAAGAATACATGGCTTCTATCTCTGACTAACCAGTAACACCGTGTGATTGACAACTTCACATTGATCTCAATATCAGTGATTGAATGGATGCTGTCATGTCAGTACTCATAGAAGATTGTGATAATCCCTGCAGTGTTCAGTCTAGAAGTATCTAGTGATAAATAAACATTGTCTGTAACTAACTGCAAACATCTTAACTGCATTCATCACATTATGACTATAACCAAATTGTATGTGAGAGAGATTATCTTATCTCCTTTTGCAGTGAAAGTGCCTCTTTAGTTACTTCTGTTACTATAGGAATGCAGATGTCATGGTTCAAGTGCTGCCTCCTCAGTTGTGGGTGCTGAAGCAACAGTGAGACGAAGGTAAAGAAGTGTGTTTTGTTCTACAAGCCAGTGGTTTGTAGCATTCAATTTGTTTTAGTCATGTTAAAGAAAAAAAAGTTTATGTTATTAGCAATTACACTGTAAGGGTGTGTGTGCGTCTTGGAACTATTCACATAACTATCCTATCCTATATATTCAAGTATAAGTCTAGAAATTGTAATTAAAAAGCATGGGTTGCTTATCAATGGGGTCAGTGTGAGCACAGCACTGTAACTTAACACCAGAAAGTTGTCAAGGTTTGTCCATGATGCTGACACAGGTATCAAATTTGCAACCAATATGTAGTTCCTCATGCCCAGTTACTCATCCTCCTCTGGCCAGCTGCTGAATCCTGGGGGGTTGTCTGCTGTACTCACTCACCAGTAAAGAAGAGAAGGCTGGAAAGGTGACTATAGAGAAGCTGAGAATGGAGAGAAAAATGAAGTGTGTTCTTCAATAGTGTGCACCTGTCTTCTCCTTCTAGGAGCCTAGAGCAGCCAGATCTTCACAACCTTAATGGCGCTGTCAGCACTGAGCCTAGACCTGTGAGAACCAACAGATAGCTTATGAATTAGGCCCAATTGTGTAATTCTGCTGAGAGGATGGTTTCCATCAGTGGAACCAAGAAGGGATGATCTTCGATCCAGAGTCCTCAAAATCTAGTCTGGAGTGCTAGGAAACGTGGAGAAGTTGTGTGGCAGCCATTGAGGGGGAAAGTGCAGACATGGCATACCAGTTCTTCTGGTCACAATGGATTTAACTGTTCAGACTAGTAGGAAGGAATGGCTGACTATTTTGGTACATGAGGGATTTAAGAAATCGTAAGCTGTATTTATAAAAATAATTATTTAAAATTCTACTTACGACAGGGACTTCAGGATTCTTGTACAGTTTTGATTGATCATCATTTTCAAACAAAAGCCTTTCCAAGAAATTTCTGATTGAGGAATGTGGGTTCAACACATTATAATAAAATCACAACATATGTACACAGGGTAGTTTTCTGTACAATGGCAAATAGTAGATATTTAAATCTAGCTATTTCTATGTCTCACGAAACATACAAGGTTTGTTTTCACCATTTTCTTTCACAGAGAGGTGGTGAAGGTAGTTTATTCATTGCAAATGTTAAACTTGATAACTGTGTCATAAAAATAAATAATTGGCATTTTTCTCTTCCATTTTATAAACCTGGTCTATTAAACTTTCTATATGATGCTTATGTGTATTGAATCTTTTTTCACCATCTCCTGAGTTTTGTAAAACACACGTTAGTTGTATTAATGCATACAGATTTGTTATGCCAATATTTCAAAAAGGTGGGTTTGTGGGCAAGGCAGAACTGTGAAGAAATGCAGAAACCCAATGTCCCAGCCTTTTGAAATACCACGGTTACCACTTGGCCAGTCTGTTTTGGGCGCAGTGTGACCAAATGGGTCAACAGAGGAATATCATGCCACAGTCTTGAAAAGGAAACCAGAGTATGGGTAGCAGCAGCCCTGTCCAGTTGCATTGAGAATTGTAATCCTCATTTGTGCTGGGCCATTTTAGCACTTCCTGCGTTTTTGCTGTCTTAGGTCAGTTGCTGACATCTACCAGCTCTTACCTTCACTGTAATTGGGGCCATGAACTTTTGGTGATTTGTACTGCAGCACTTTGAAAGGTGGTGGAACTAAAATCTGTTATAGTCTCAGATATTTTGACAAAAATGGTTGATTTTTGTTACATTTCCTGAGCTGCAGAACTTGGTTTGCACCAGTGCACCAAACCTCACAAACTCTGAGAATGCTTGCCACAAAACGTCAGGAGAATATGCTAGAACATGGCCATACAGCCCGAAAGACCTATAACAACCCAGTGATTCTGGCCATGAAAGCCTTCAACAATACATCCCCACAAGGTAGTTTGATAATCAGACTATAGTTTCATCAGGCAAAAAATCTCGCAAGCATCCCAGAATCTTGTTCTACCCTGAAATGTTTCCATTTTCCTCTGTCGTTCCTCTCAATGGTGACAGGAAGTGATGCAACATAAGAAAGGAGGTATTTGGGCTTGCTGTGAAGGAAAAGTTAGATTAGCATAGGGGGTGGGGGTGGGATTGTGACTTGGAATTGGCCTTAGCCCATATGCAATTGCCCATCCTTGGCATAGAAGTTTCTGCCATTAATACCTCACCTTTTGCCAAAAAGAGACCCAAGGGCTGAGATTCTACTTTGGAATTAAAAAGTGCTATACAACCTTTGTAATGAATTGCAGTGAGGCACAATCAAAACAAAACCAATGAGCTACTGGACCGTTAATGGTGCTCTATCCATAAGTCTTGCTTCAGACAAATACCCACCTTTCATATGGATGCTAACAGTATTCCAGCTATGATTTTATGCCCAATAGTCTTCTGCACATGCACGTGGGTGTAAATTGAAGGCCACATTTGGGCTGCCAAATTGGATTCTGATGTCTTTATGTCCAGCTGTTTTATTACAAACTCAAATCAACTAAATTTTGTGCACATCTTTTAGCCCCCCCCCCCCCCCAGAAAAAAAATGCTTGTTCCATATATTTTCTTTCACACACAAACACATTTTTGATCTCACTGCTAGCAAACATTCCAACTAGCTTCATATAAGAACAGTTTTATTTCTGGTTTGAACCTGGATGCCATTTTTTTATATCCCAGCAAGACTTATCTCGTATCAGTCAATGTAGCATTGGTTTTAGCCAATCTGTTCCAAGTTGTGGAAGTCACCATCTTTGTCATGTGAACAATAGATAACTGCTGCATGTTAAACTGGAACAAAATGTGGCTTTTTTTCTGGATGTTTATGTGGATCAATTCAGCCACATCCATACATGACCTGGTCCCAAGATGACTTATAGTTGATGATGGTGATGGTCAACT